ATTTGTTTTAAGTTCCCACAGCCTTCAGGTTTCAAACCAGTTAACTATACTAACACCCATTTTGAGTACGAGCAAAGTCAGCATAAGAACATATCTGTGCTGGCCGCTCTGTGGTGGGTCCCATGGGTCAGGGCAGCAGAGGAGCGTGAACTGGGAATGTGGACTCGAGCTGCAGTAAAGAGAATAACTCACTGCCATAGCGACCACCATATGGAGCAAGACAGCGCTGTTTCAGTGGGTTTCCGAGACTGTAACTCTTTTGGGGAGTAGAAAGCCTCATCTTTCTTCCGCCCAGTGGCTGGTAATTTTGAACTGCCAACCTTATGGTTAGCCACTCAACGTGTAACTGCTAGGGCTCCCTGAAGAGTGACAGAGGAGGACTTCCAGAGCGCATAGTTAAGGGAGTCTTGGTGTGCTCTGCACCATAAGAAATAGGAGTTTTACTGAAAACATTTTTGTCTTAACCTTGCTTTAATTTGTAAAGATTATTATCAACAGGATGCAGTGATTGTTACTACTTGAAAAGAGTAGACGAGATAAATTAGAAAGTGATAAGCAACTCTTAGCAACCTCTGCTTAAATGTTTAGTGTGTGCCAGATCAGATACCCTAAAAGTATTTGTTTCATACTAAATCTTACATACTCATGTAAGGAGTGTCTCCATTTTGAGGAACTAAGGCTGAGAGAGGATCGGAGTCTTAATTTAAGGTCATATAACTAAAATGGTAAGCCTTCCTGGGTCCAAATCAAAGCTATAGCTTATTTCCCCTATCTTTTTCTTTGGAAATGTTACTTTATGTGTTACAGTTCTCCAGAGAACTGTGTCTGTGTGTGTGTAAAGAGAGACATTTGAAGGAACTGGTTCATGAGTTTGTGGGAACTGAAAATTCGAAATGTATAGGCCAGGTGGCTGACTGGAAGTCCTTGCAAAATGTCTGCAACAGAGCTGAGCCAGGATTATTTTTTCCTCAAGAGGATAGTTTTGCTGTTAAGATCTTCAAATCATTAAATAAGGCCAACCCACTTATGAAAGATAGTCTGCTCTACTTAAAATCAGCTAATTGTACATGTTAATCACATATAAATGTCTTTGAACAGCATCTGCACCTGAACAGAGAACTGGGCAGCATGGCATACCCATGTTGACAGAAGATTAACTACCATACCTATAAAGTTGCTTGAGGGTGGTGCATGCTCTGTAAGAACTTAGGTATTGGGTTTTGTTTTGGTTTTTTATTCCATACTCTACCCCCCTCCCCGCTGCCTGGGAGGTCTTTTTTGGGGGGGAGAGGGGTTATATTAAGCAGTGAAGTTTCTATTTTCATTTTCTCTCTTTTTTTCAGATCATTTTATTGGGGGCTCATGCAACTCTTGTCACAATCCATACATACATCCATTGTGTCAAGCACATTTGTACAATTGTTATCATCATCATTCTCAAAACATTTGCTTTCTACTTGAGCTCTTGGTATCAGCTCCTCATTTTTCCCCTCCCTCCCCACTCCCTGGAACTAGGTATTTTTTGTATGCCTGTTGGACCAGCTCTTACAGTCTACTGATCTGACAAGTGTTTGTAATTGTGTACAGACTGTTTTCACCTTTTTGAAATTAGTTTTGGGAAAGAGATTTTTTTATTAGCTTCTTTTCTTACAATATTAGGACTTAAAATATCTGCCTGTGTCTCCTTTGGCCTTAGTAATGGGGGGTGGCATATAGCGATGAGTCTGAAAGCTGATACTAATGCTATTTCTGAAGTAAGCATGCATTGTTCAGTTGTTCTGACTGCCAACTTACTATGATGACCTTAGGGACATCACTTCCGCCCTCATCTGTAAATGACCTTTGGACCAGGTCTCTGAAGGCCTTTGCTGCTCTAAACATCAGATGTAAAGTGATGAGCGCAATATATAGACTTGGTGCTTGCTCAGTAAATCATGGCTATTTGTAGGTAGTAGGGCGTTTTTCCATCAAAATATTTTAACTTTGCCTTGGTGACCTGAATAATAGTAGAGTGGAAATCAACCAAGCTCTTTTGCATCACTGGCCAGCCCCACGCTTGGTTCTGGCAGAGCCCTGGCCCAAGGGGTTGCCTGCTGAGGGCGCTGCCCTCCTCTTTTGGAGTTGTCTCCTGACTGCCTCTAGAGCCCAATTTGTTGGGTCTCTGGGGGGCAGTCTACTGACTGAGAGAAAACAGACAACTGGTAGTAAGAAGACTGGAGTAATCTTCTATAAATATTGAAAACGTGTGTTCTGAAGTCAGGCGCCTGAGCATCTGCTTTATGTTAAAAGCTTGTGCTGAAATAACTGCTAGTAAATAGGTTAGACTCCAGGGCCCTCTTGGGTCGACTGAGGAGAAAGGAACTACACCTGACAGACCCGTGTTCTCTTAGAAGCATCTAGTCCAGGGCATTTCTTTGCCACCACTTCACTTCACTTCAGCTTATTAATAAACTAAGAGTATTTCATCCGAAATGTCCATCCTCTGTCAGAAAGCAGTTCTTCTCATGGCCCCATCCAGTTGCTGAATCCCAGCCCTAGGGAAACCGCCTTTTCCCTGACCTTGAATCCGCTTTTGTGTTTTTCTCCATCCTGTGACCGCGTCCTAACCCCAGCTCTTTCTCCCCTCTTCTCCCATTCATCCTCTAGCTTCCCTTTTCCTCTCCCTGACCCTACATCCCCCGCCATCTTGTCTGTGCAGCAGAAACAGAAATGTCAAGCTCAAATACGCAGCAACACGCCTCTATGCCTGGGCTCCATGCTGTTGCCAAATAGACAACTGTAAATAGAGCCATGACTACTCAGAGCCATGACCGGTCAGTCAGGAAACTCCAGCTCCTGATGACCTTCTGGTCACTCATTGTGGAGTCACCGCATTCTTGTTAAAGCAATGTGAAAATTGTTCAGATCGGCAAGACAAAAGCTACAGAATAGTAGTGATGGGTTAGTCTTGGTTTATAAATATATAATTAGGATTGATTTTTCTCAGTGTTTCCTCGTGGCTCAGCCACTTTCTAACCTCCATTGACTGAAAGCAGATGCGTGTATCACCATCACTGGCATTTCAGAATTGATCTGTCCTGTACCACAGGTAGCCCTGGTTCTGTGTGCAACTAAAATTGGCTTCCTGGTGCAGATGACTCCCTCTCATAGCTCACAGTCTGTGGTCCTACTGCATCACTCCGACCTGCCTATTCACTAAAAATAATGTGCCGGAATTTAGTCCATGTACATTCTGCTTAATGCAAAAAAGAACCAATCTGCAGGAGAACTGTATCAAAATTTAGAAGATTAAAAAGTTGTGTTGAATTTTAGTTGATCTGTTTGAAAGTGAATCAAGTAATTGCCGTTTTTATTTCAACCATACAACCTTCTTGACCAGGGGTCCTCACACTACAGCCTGCTGGCCACATGCGGCTCGCTGAGGACATTTATCCAGCCCGGCAGGTGTTTTTGCCCCGTTTTGTTTTTTACTTCAAAATAAGATACGTGCAGTGTGCATAGGAATTTGTTCATAGGGTTTTTTTTTAACTACTGTATAGTCTGGCCCTCCAATGGGTCTGAGGGACAGTGGACTGACCCCCTGTTTAAAAAGTCTGAGGACCCCTACTCTTGACAAGGGTGACCTAGCTGGAGCTTCTGACCAAACTGGATTTTAACGAAGAACTAGTAGGACCCCTGGTAGGGCAGTGGTTAAGAGCTCAGCTTCTCGGCAAAAGGCCAGCAGTTTGAATCCACCAGCCACTCCCAAAAAGGAGAAGGTGGCAGTCAGTCTACAGAGCGGTTCTATACTGTTCCTAACAGGCACAGAGTCAGAATCAACCCCATGACTGCAGAGGGGCAGGTTCAGAGTACAAGTGTGACTTGTTGAAATCATTTCTTAAAGAGCAGGCATGGTCTTTTCACACAACTGTTTTAGATGTTAAGAATTTTAATCGGAATGTGATTTTGTTGTTGTTGTTAAGTTTGTTTCCAAAACTTGACATTGACAGTGGAGAAGCCATCAGTCACTGGTGATCCTTAACATACTACATGTAGCTAAATGGAATATTTCGGATTCTTACCCTAAGGGGTTTGCTGAGTCAGAATGAAGACTCCACGGTGATGGGTTGTTGTTTTGCTTTTATACACTGTATGTTAGTTGGTAGCTGTTCACTGTTAACTATTTTGCCATAAGCATTTTAAATAAGAATGTTCATTCTAAAGTGAATTTTGAACTCGTGTTTATAACTGTCAAGCCTCTTGGTTCTTAAGTCGTGTTGGAAAGAGACTTCTTTTGTATGTACCAAGGACTCTCTTTTATACTTCTAGCTTTACTTTGGAGACACTTTACTGTCTTGAGGTAGATATTTCTGGTAAAAACTCAGTTGGCTTAAAAAAAACAAACTACTAAATCAGCAGAGACGGAAATCAGAGTGACATGGCAATTCACTAGCACATTTCTCTGTGATTCAGTGGCTTTATAAAATGGGGATAAATAATAGCACCTGTGCCACAGATTGTTGGGAGGAATTAAACCGTTCATCCATAGAAAGTACTTATAAGAGTGCCTAGCACATAGTGGGTACCCAATACATAGCAGCTGCCCCCCACCTTTAGCAGTTTTACTGACATATAACTCATATACCATACAATTTCATAGTTTAAACATATTTAAAAGAGTTGCGCACTCATCACCACAATCCATTTTAGACACCAGCTATTTCTAAAAAGGAAAGATTGCTACTAAGGTGATAAGCTAATAAGTCTGATATGTTCAAATTCTTTATACATAATATAAATTTATGGTCATGAATGTAAAATATGGTAAGTATTTTTTGTTTTTACGGGAAGTGGCAAAAACTTCATGATTTAATTGTTCTATTGTCTCTTACAATGTGGTGATTCTGGTTAATCAATTTATTTATTTTTAATGTTATATGTTGCTGTATCTTGTATTTGCGTGTATCGTGTTTTAATTTCAAGACACATTCTGATACCACATTTTTATTCTTTCATTGCAGGCAAGAAGACAACAAGACCCTAGTCCTGGCTCTAATTTAGGTGGGGATGACCTCAAACTTGGGTAGTTAGCAGCACGGCACATGTGCCGCTCATCTTCACATAGACGTGGCTTCTAGCTGGTAGAAATAATTGATTACAAGACCAGAAACTGTGATAACTGGAGGTACTGGGGTCTCTTTTCCTAACCTGCGGCAGTAACAGTCATCACAAACTGCCATGGTTTTGCACTATGATTATAATACCTGCATTTCTGATATTTTAAGCATGTAGCCAGTAATATTTTGAAATTTTTTTCTATGCAAGCTTAATTTGTTGGCATTATTTTAGTAAATTGAGACTACCCATTTGTAAAGCCCCCCCCCCCTTTTTTTTTCTTCATCATAATTTAAAAGTTCATGTCATTTAAAATCAGGTCAAGAACTTAACATTTGTATCAGAGGGACTTTTGTTTCCCGAAACCAGTTGTTCTCAGTTTTGTTTTATTTTGTGTTTTACTTTCAGCTGCATTTTCAATAGGCAATCTGGAATTGATTGGTCTCTTTCCCCATTTCCTTTTGTGTTCCTGTAGACCATGGCATTTTAGAACTGCTGATGTGACTGCATTATTTACAAGCTAAAAACAAGTAGCACAGAGCTGTCTGCCACAGCCTTCTAACACAGAGTTTACAGTTGTTAAAGTTGCAGTATCCTTTTAAATACTAGCGTCAGCACCCTGTTTCCTTTTTGAGCAAAAGTTTGGTTTATTACCGGTAACGCTAATCTGCACCAGATCTGTTTGAGATTGTTCTGTAATCATGAGTTTGAATGGAGATACTCTCCACAGACAATACTATCCTACTGAAATGACTAAAGAAGTCACAGACTGGCTTCTGCTTTATTCAGGGATATATTTTTTTTAAATCTTAAATCAGCCATAAAGGGATACTGGAGCTTCTTCCTGTGTGTAGCAGCATATTAAACTGGAGGCAGTCATCTATCAGCTACAAGGGTAATACTGTATTCAATCATGTCTCAGATAGCTGCTGTTCTGTGTATTTTATATTGCATGCTTTTGTAAAAAAAAACACAAAAACAATGCTAGGTGATAAAAGATTAGTCTTAAAAGAGAAAACTCATCTGTGCAGAAAGTACACTTTCTTCCATTTATTTTGGAAACAAAAACCGTTCACAGCTATATAGTGTTCTAAAAAAGACTATTAGTAGTACCTTTTGAGAGGAATTAGTGTAAGAGTTGTTTTTTGTTTGTTTTTTAATCAGTTCAGTATCAAATTGAGTGTAACTTTTTTTATTTGTTTGTTTAAATACAGAACTGGAAAAAAGTGCCAAGTCATATGGCACCTTACAAATATTTTCCATGGTCATATTCATTAATTGTTACATTTCTGACTTTTTGCAAAAATGTATTTTAGCGTAATGGAATGGCATTATTTTAAACTGACGCGGTCAGTCTGGGTGAGTCATGGCGTGTAGAACTATGTCATAGTCTAGGTTGATGAGGGAACCCCGACTTTCATTGTACACAGGTCTAAGAATCCCTAACGGAAGCCTCTCTCTCAGAATCAAATAGCTCTTATATATTGGAGTCGCGCATGGTAAGGAGTGTGCTTAAATCGCCATAAACAATCATCGGTTATAAGGTCATGCTGATCTTCCCTGTCCGAGGACTCTGGATGGATGGGTTGGTATTTGGTGGTGTGCGCTCCCATGTTTACACACTCAGTGCCCTAACTTCCCCTGAGGAAATTGCCTTTTAAGTGGTCCTTACAGTGGTGGTTTACAGTTACTTTATCACAGGGCTCTTTGGCTTTTAACTTCGGCACTTACCTTTTTTTTTTTTTTTAATAACAAAATGATGATGGTACCTTTTTCTCTGTTGCTTCTAGCTAAGTAAGGGCTTTCAGGTCACCAGTAAATAACATCAACTGTTATTACATTTCAACGTTGCCATCTTTATGTAAATACTGAATTTTTTCCCCTTTTGGTCATTTAACACTGCTGCTTCTGCCTGTCTTAATGCTGGCATTAAGAACATGAGCCCTTTTCTTCCAGTAGCGCAGGCTTTATGAATTACTTTTTATTAAGTTATTTGATGCAGTTTGATTTTTCACAGCTTCTATTTAAACGAAATTACAGCATTGCATCATCTTTTCTAAATTCATGTCAATTGAAACTTGCCTTAAGCTACCAGATTGCTTTTGCCACCATTATCCATACTGTGTGTTGTATGTTTAATTTACTTCCACAATAAACTTCTGTGTAGTGAAAACAAGGGTCTTGCTCTTTATTGACACAATCCAACAACTTCTGTTCTAGTTCCACTTATGGTAGAAAGAAAAGTTGATGTGTGTCCGTGGTTCTTTCATTCTGCTGTGTAATCTCTGAATTAAAAAATCGAAATGACAGTGGCATCTAGTGGTCATTTCTGCTCATTCCAACCAAGACCTTTCATGGAGATATCACAGAGCACTATAATTGTCAGTGAGCATTATGGTTTTCAACAGTCTGGCTTGACTGAGGTGACAGGAAGATAATATTCTACAAGAGGAAGAAGAGAAAGAATTGGGGAGAGGACAAGCTATTGGGAATTTTGAAAAGTTGTTCAAACTGTTGAATACGAACATGATCTGGTTTGTAAACCCCTTCCTAAAAAAGATAAGAGAGAGAAAAGCAACTTGAAAATGGATGGAAAAAGAAACATGGCGTGATTTACCTACTCTGAGGTATGACTATAAAGTAGTTTAACCTGTCCAAACCAAAACACACAGCTCACTGCTATCAAGTTGATTTCAACCCATGGTGACCTTATACAACACAGGAGAGTTGCCTCTGTGGATTATCGAGGCTATGATTTTTTGATTATTAAATACTTTTATTGGGGGCTCTTACATCTCTTATCACAATCCATACATTCATCCATTGTGTCAAGTACAGTTGTACATATGCTGCCACCATCCTTTTCAAAGGGCTATAAATCTACAGGAGTAAAAAGCATCTTTTTCCTGTGAAGTGGCTGGTTGTTTCAAACTATCGAAGCCCAACTCATAACCCACTACAACACCAGGGCTCCTGTGACCTTTGACCTTGTCCTGGAGAAAGAATCCCAAAAATTACCTCTCTAGATTGATATCATTTTCCCTCAACTATTTGTTTTAGGAATATGCACTTGCTTTTATTATGCTGATGTCATTTTCAAATATTGTTGGGATGTCTCATGGCTTTTTTCTGCACCCGAAAATAAGCCTTAGGAAGTATCCCTTCAGCTTGTCCATAATTGAACAAATTTACTTGTTACCAAAAAAGCAGCCAAACTCAATATGGGCTCATAGCTAGCCAACCTATTGGACAGGGTAGAACTGCCCCTCTGGGTTTATGAAACTTAAAGAAGTAGCCCCATGACAAATAGGTTTTACAGCTTAATTGGCACTATTACGGGGAAGAAGGAAAAACAGCGGAAATGTCTCCTTTGGCAGTGCCACGTGGAAGCTTTTTCAGATTTTCAGCCACTGTATCGATGTCACATTGTTGCATTGCAACTTTCCCCCCAAAACTTAGCAGCTTAATACAGTCCTTAGCTCTATATTTCTGTCTGTCAAGAATCGAAGTGGCTAAGCTCATATTTCTGGTTCAGGATCTCATGGCGTTCAGCACAGGGCTAGGGGAGCTCAAGATTAGCCTGCATCTAAAGGAGCTCCTTCTGATCTCTAAGGGGTTTACCCGTACCTCAGGCTGGGGTTCCTCCCAAGCTGTTTGACAGCATGCCCATCAGGGGTTGGCCTAGGCCAACAGTTACTGGAATGCTGCCTGCCATTGTGACAGATCAAGCAGATAATAACTACTAGTTCCCACATTGCAAATGAGATCCATTTTCATGTGCCTTTAAGAATTTGGAGGCAAGCCAGAAATTTCAAATGAGGAATTTTTACCATATTGAAAAATCAAATTAGAATTATCCATAAATCAGATGTTCATAACATGGAGACATTTCCTATATAGTAAAAGGGACACTTACTTTGAAAACATCTAAAATTCACACATTTCACTGGAGCAAGCAAGAGCCCACATCCAATTTGGTAAATGGCCTATGAGGACAACTACAGTTTTTGTCCAGGGAAGAGGCCAAATACTTGCTAATAGCTCTAATGACTGCCATTGTCTACCCTGCCCCTTAAAGGTTTGATTTACTCCTTCCCTCATGAATGTACTTGGGGAGACATCTAAAAGTGACAATCCGTCTGCCTATCTGTTCCCTGCATGGTATCCAGCAAGAGAAAAGCTACAGAAACAAGGTGACAAATGTAATCACTGGTCTAAAGATCATGTGTCATTGGGAAGACCAGCTTGTGAGCCTTCTGCCCTGAGGTCTGTCAACCCCTTAGAAGACTTCCCCATCCATTACTTTCCATGACCCTTGGCCTCATCCCCGATTCAGTGGGCACAACCTTTCATTTCTGCTTTCAAACTGACTATCATTTGTTAAAGTATTTACATATCAAGCAAACAGCCAAGTCCATAAGTGTGATAGTACTCCAATTCTAGTCCATAAATCCCTCTTAAGATTTACACAGCCATACACAATGATGCAGAAAGCAGGAAGATCACAGGCTGGTAGGTGCAGTCTTGTAGATCGAGTGGCAGTGGATGCATATCCAGGGCTCTGACTGCCATCTGCGTGACTCGAAGTGGCTCATCATCCGGAAGGTGAAGCAGAGAGAAGGGAGGTTCCCAGGACCCTTATGAAAAGGCCACAACAGGGAGGTCCCGTTAGGCTGTGACCTGATTTGGCAGGCTAGACTGCACCCCTTCTATCAAGTTGACAACTCTTCATTCTTGATTCCCATACTCCCTCATCTGCCACGTCCAGCCTGTAGACCCTACCAATGGATCCCATTGGTCTCTATCACCATTGGAGCATAGTGCATGTGACTCCAGGCCTGACATTCTGTGCAATCTTAGCACACCTGTACGGTAAGTATGACGATCATTCTTCCCATTTTACAGATGAGAACAATAAGCAACTTACTCAAGACACAAAGCTTATTAAGTTGCAAAACAGACAACCGAAAAGTGGGTGAAGGGAGACATTGGACAGGGCAAGATATGACAAAATAATTTACAAATTATCAAGGGCTCATGGGGGAGGGGGGAAATGAGGACCTAATGCTGGGGACTAAGTGGAGAGGAAATGTTTTGAGAATGATGAGGGCAATGAATGTAAAAATGTGCTTTACACAATTGATGTGTGTATGGATTGTGATGAGTTGTATGAGCCCCTAATAAAATGATTTTTAAAATAAAATGAAAATGGGGAAAATGACAAAAAAACAGATTCACAGTCCATGCTGTCAACCACTAAGCTGAACTGTTCCTGCATGCCTGTCTCAGACTGATAACTAGCCTCCTTACATCCACTCTTGGAACCCTTAGACCAATATCCCCTTTACGGTCATTCCCCTCTTGCTATGTTACCCTTCTGTGATCTGAATCGCTCTTCTTGCCCATCCTGGACATCAGCAGTCCGTCACAAGAAGACTTCTTCAAAGAATAGCCCCAGATTTCTTCCACCCTGAACCAGGGTTGAGAGTATTCAGTGTCTCCCCAACTAGCCCTGGACTCAAGAATGGCCAGAAAAGGACACTATCTGATTCACTGTCCTCCCCAAGCCCACTTTTTAAGAAATGCATCTCAAGAAGAACAGGGAGAACGTGACTCAACAGCCAAACCTCCGTTAGTGGGCAGAAGCAGGGAGGGGAGGGTGGAGTCAAAAGTCTTAAAGGGCGAAAGATCTAAGTCCCACAAATGAAGGAAGTTTGAAGCAGTTTGATCACGTGACTCCAAACTTTAAAACGCATCCTACAATGGGTATCACAGTTTAGTTAGCTACTCCCTTGCTGAAGGCATTTCAGCGACCCAGTTCTGTTGACGTGTGTTGGACATCTTGCTGTTTGTTTTTAAATACAAGTAGCAGTTATTAAAGCTCGATAGATCCATACCTAAATTCTGAGCACTTGGTTTGCAGAAGACTAGTTTATAGAGGGAACCCTAAATCTATTTCAAGGTTTGACATGAATTCAGGCTCCTGTGAGTTCTTTCTGACTAATAACTGGTCATGTAAGCTTTGCCCTCAGTGTGTTTGAAAGTAGATTACTGCCCTAGCCAACTAGGGATGGGTAATCTCCCCCTCGAGGCTTTGTCCGGGCATGCTCTTAGTGGAAATTGAAACATCACAGTCATGTGGGCATGAGTAATACCTAAACCAGGGTGGCCAAAAAGCCCAGAACCAATCCTGTAAGCTTTTCTAATCGGCAGTGGTGTACATATTCCAATCTCAGACTTTTCTCCCCGTATGTAGTCCAGCCTGTGATAGTGATGAGTTGGTCTTTCTCCAGTCATGATTTTGTCAGCCTTTCCTTTGTTTTCCATATTCTGTATAGTTGCCCGTGTGGCTGTCACTTCTTCAGATTCCATTGCAGCCTCACTCTGATGGTCTCCCTCATCAAGATTAATTTTTTATCTTCTCGTTCCTGTTTAAGACTTAATAAATGGATCTCTGGGAGCCCTGGTGGCATAGTGGTGATGAGTTGAGCTGCGAGCTACAAGGTCAGCAGTTTGAAACCACCTCCACGGAAAAGAGATGGGGCTTTCTACTCCCATGAAGAGTGTCAGTCTCAGAAAATCACGGGCTATTCGACCTTACAGGTTGCTACAAATCAGTGTTGACTCAATGGCAGTGAGTTTAGAGTTAATTAAGGGGTCTCTATGTACTACCAAGCCAATTTGAGATTTAAAGTTGTTACGCCCTCTTCTGAGAAGAACTTTCCTTTCTTTGGCAGGAGTAAGAGATGAGGGGCAATGTGATGGAAGAACTTGGGTTCTGTGCCTATGACCAAGGAACCTTGGGGAAGGTTTGTAAGCACTCTGGGCTGGTGGCTAGTGGCTGCTACACAAGGTCAGCAGTTTGAACCCACCAGCCACTTCTCAAGCGAAGGAGGAGGCTTTCTACTCCTGTAAAGAGTCAAAACCAAAAACCAGGCTTGCTGCTATTGAGTTGATGCTGACTCATAGCAACCCTATAGGACAGAGTAGAATCCTGCTCCTGTGGGTTTCCAAGACTGTAACTCTTTACATGCAACAGGGGGTATCATTGCTGATGTCACAAGGATCTTGACTCAGAAAATACCAGAAAGATGTTGCCTTGTGTTTAATTGATTATGCAAAGACATTAGACGGTGTAGACCTTAATAAACTATGGATAATAACCCTGAGAAGAAGGGCATTCCATTGTGCTCATGAGGAAATTGTACGTAGATCAAGAGGCAGTTGTGTTGAGGTACTATTAGGTCGCTAGAAACCGGAACCAGGGTGGTTCCTCTATATGCCAAGCCCCCTACCGGAATTTGGAAGC